TTCTTACTGTTGTTTTGCAAATGATGCATTTTTTACTTTACACAACAACCCAGGTCTCAGTTTGTACATCCTCAGCTCCTCACCTTGCCTCCCGTCATCATTTCAATCTTTTCATTGCATCTTAGTCCCCCCCACCTTAGAAGCATGGAGACACAAGAAAAGTCAAATCTTTTCCCCCACCAGCTTTCTGACAACTCTTACTGGATTGTTCTCATTGCCTCTGTTGATTACTTTAGTTAAGGTTTGGTTTAGGGTGGAGTAAGGGTTAATATTAGCCAATCAGAGACACCGTAGCGGGAGAGTGGGGGCAGGCCTTGACACAGAGCTGGTGGAAGTTGTTGCAAGGAAAACATGCAAGGAGAGAAGAACAGAGGAAATACGTCTTTAGAGAAGCAGCTGATCACCAGCTGTAGTAGAGAATGGGAATCAAACCCAGGTCTCCCACACCAAAGGCAAGCATCTTATCTATGCGCCATCACCATCCGTCATTTTCAGCAGCACCCTGTCCAGAGACATGAGACATAAGAAGACTGGTTAAGTTTAGCAGGTCACCTCCATTAACATGGCCTAAATTCCCTCACAGACACAAACAGCTTGAGAGATGTTACAGGCAGTTGTTACCTGTCTGGGCATCTGGCTACTGCTACTGATCACCTCAGCACTTTCTGAAGGAGTATAATTATTTATGTTTGTGCTAATAAAACTATTGGCAATTTAGGAGTCTTTCTTTGAGATGTAGACCTCTAACTGCCTGAATGAAATTTAATTTGTGGGCTTTGCTATAATAAATCCTATTAAGGGAGACTGAAGGAATCAGATGGTGCTCAGCAGACTTTTATCTGCCACATGGGCGCATGCGCACGCAGCGACTGGCAGTGTATGAGTGTTCGGCGTCCACGTGTATGTTTGACAACGTTTTTTCCTTTGTTTAAATGTCTTAAAGTTTTGTTTTGTTTTTATTGAAGTAATGCTCTTAAAGTTTTAAACTTAGTCGAAAATGGATGCTTTTTATCTTTTTGCTCTATGGCTTGTGATGTACTGGATGGCCGCCGGTAAAATGTACGGGGCTTTATGCCAAATTAGGACAACATATACGAGAGAGGCATTGCTGCAGCTCAAGAACATGAACAGTAACCCAGCTCGGGAAAACTTTATGCTGGATGTCCCAAATATTATCCGAAGGGATTACCAGGAAGCATGGGGCACAGTTAAGAAAAGGAAAAGGGGTAAACGAGGCGGCGTAAAAACTCGCCTGAAGAAACAGCGCTTCAACCGGGCTCCTTTGCCTTCGATGATTATGGGAAATGTACAATCACTAAGGAACAAAGTGGATGAGCTTCAAGGAAATGTCCGCTACCAAAAGAATTTCATGAACTGCTGTATTATGGCATTTACTGAAACATGGTTCACAGAGCGTGACCGGGATGTTGATTTGTGTATGGATGGATTCGGAGCTCCCTTTCGTTTGGATCGACTATCAGAGGTGACGGGGAAAACCCAAGGAGGAGGGGTATGTTTGTACATCAATAAGCGGTATTGCTCATGTGTTACTGTCAGAGAGCGTATTTGTACACCTGATGTAGAACTTTTATCGGTGTCCTTGAGACCGTTCTATCTACCTCGAGAGTTCCCTCAGATTTTATTACAGTTGTTTACATTCAACCGAAGGCGAACCCCGCATCGGCTACTTGTACAGTATTTGATGTTGTACAGAAGTTACAGTCAATCTCACCGGAGGCACCAAATTTCATTCTTGGGGATTTTAATCATGTATCCTTAAAACAGACTCTTAAAACTTTCCATCCGTATGTCTCCTGTTCGACCAGACGGGGCAAGACTTTAGATCTGTGTTATGGATCGGTGAGAGGTGCATACAAATCTGTACCCTTGGCACCTTTGGGCTCGTCAGATCACAATTGTGTACATTTGCTGCCTACATATAAGACTGTTTTAAAAAGGGAGAAAACTGTGATCAAGGAAATTAGAATGTGGTCAGAAGATGCTGTGTCCTGTCTAAAAGACTGTTATAGCTGCACAGACTGGAACATTTTTAAACAGGACTGTGGTGACGATTTGGACTCAATGGTTGATGTTACATGTTCATATATGGCTTTTTGCAGGGACATGATAATTCCATGTAAAAAGGTAAAAATCTATTCGAACAATAAGCCCTGGGTTACTAAATCAGTTAAGTCCTGTTTACAAAGGAAAAAAATAGCATTTAAACACGGAACAACTATGGACTTACATGTGGCTACTAAGGATTTAAAGGTTGAAATTCTTAAAGCTAAACAAAGCTATAAGGAAAAACTAGAAAATAAGATGGCATCCAAAAATCCTGGCTCAGCATGGGCAAATATGAAAACCATTGTAGGCCTTCATAACTCAGATTGCAGTAATCAGATTATTTTAAATGGTTTTAGTTCTGATCTTGAACTAGCAAATGCACTAAACGATTTTTATTGTCGTTTTGACAATTTGAATTTTAATAAAGAAATCCAGGAATTGAGCGTTAAGTTAATGGATGATCAGCATTTTAACATCGACCTTCAGGATGTGGAAAAAGCTTTCAGACAAGTTAAGGCAAATAAAAGCCCAGGTCCTGATAGCATTTGTGGCAGACTATTAAAGTCATGTGCAAAAGAATTGAGCCCTGTATTTCATGAAATTTATAATAAGTCTCTGGAGACACAACATGTACCGATCCTGTGGAAGGATGCGGTGGTCATTCCTGTCCCTAAATGTAGAGACCCTAAGATGATAAATGATTTTAGGCCGGTCGCTTTGACTTCCATTTTAATGAAAATCCTTGAGAAATTAGTACGGTCTGAGATTTTGAGGTGGACAGAACATCGATTGGATCCTATGCAGTTTGCATATAGACCTCATAGAGGAGTACAGGATGCTACACTCACAATGTTAAATCTGCTATTAGGACACTTGGATGGACAGAGGACACATGCTAGACTTTTATTTGTTGACTTTTCTTCGGCGTTCAATACAATTCAACCACACATTTTAATGTGTGTAATATTATCCGAAGGGATTACCAGGAAGCATGGGGCACAGTTAAGAAAAGGAAAAGGGGTAAACGAGGCGGCGTAAAAACTCGCCTGAAGAAACAGCGCTTCAACCGGGCTCCTTTGCCTTCGATGATTATGGGAAATGTACAATCACTAAGGAACAAAGTGGATGAGCTTCAAGGAAATGTCCGCTACCAAAAGAATTTCATGAACTGCTGTATTATGGCATTTACTGAAACATGGTTCACAGAGCGTGACCGGGATGTTGATTTGTGTATGGATGGATTCGGAGCTCCCTTTCGTTTGGATCGACTATCAGAGGTGACGGGGAAAACCCAAGGAGGAGGGGTATGTTTGTACATCAATAAGCGGTATTGCTCATGTGTTACTGTCAGAGAGCGTATTTGTACACCTGATGTAGAACTTTTATCGGTGTCCTTGAGACCGTTCTATCTACCTCGAGAGTTCCCTCAGATTTTTATTACAGTTGTTTACATTCAACCGAAGGCGAACCCCGCATTTAAGAGTAGGCTTAAGACTTTCCTCTTTGCTTTTAGGCTTTTAGATCAGTTTGTGCTAAGTAATAATTTGATTGGTTGGATTTTGAATTTCTTAACTAATAGAACACAAAGAGTAAAAGTGAATGGTGTCTTATCTACACAGATGAGTTCCTCTACAGGGTCTCCTCAGGGATGTGTGCTGTCCCCGCTTTTATTTATTTTATATACTAACATGTGTCAAAGCATGTATGAGAATAGATTTATTATAAATATGCGGATGACTCAGTAATTTTGAGTTTACTTAAAGAGAATGAGACCTCACATGGTCCAATTATTGAGCATTTTGTCAAGTGGTGTGATGAATCTTACTTACAGTTAAATATATTGAAGACCAAAGATATGCTTATTGATTTTAGGAAAAGCACTCATCCAAGTGATCCTACCTTAATTAAAGGCCAAAAATAGAGTATGTACAATCATACAAATATCTTGGGACCATAATTGATGAGAAACTAAATTTTGAAGAGAATTGTGAGGCTCTGAAAAAAAAGGGGCACCAGCGTTTGTACTGCCTAAGGAGATTATCTGTATTCAATCTTGATAAAACAATAATGAAGTTGTTCTATCATGCTTTTATAGAATCTGTTTTGTCTTTTTCCATCTTAGTATGGTACGGTCATATATCCTTAAAGGCAAAAAATCATCTAGATCAGATAATAAAATGGTCTGGCCGTTTGATAGGCGAGTCAAAACCAGGAGTGGCATCACTATATGCCAAACAATTACAAAGGATGGCCCTTTCAATTTTAAATGATGACTCTCACCCTCTGCGAAATGAGTTTCAGTTATTACCGTCTGCGAGGAGGTATAAAGTCCCTAGGTGTAGAACGAAAAGACATAAAAGCAGCTTCGTAATAAATGCGATTGATATGCTTAACAAATTGTAGAGGTGTTTTCTCAGATATACTAGGGGTCTCATGAATTTTTCATAATGATTTTTTATTTTATTTATTTATTTTATCTGTCCTTATGTGTAGTGTGATGTTCTGTGTTGTGTGTTGTTTTTGTACTGGATGCCATAGAATGTCATTGCACTGTAAAACAAATTTACCTACGGGTATAAATAAAGTAAACAACAACAACAACAACAACATGGAGATTTCCAATAAAGAACAATGCTGACTCAGAATGAGCATCATTCATCAGTCTGTGCAAAGATACACAGAGGGCTAATCTGAGGCAGTCTGGGTAAGACAAATAAAGTGAGAAGCCTTCTTTATTGGGAAACTCAGAAACTCAGCCAGGAAACACAAAGTAAACACAAAGTGGGCATGTGGTACTAAAAGGACAGTAACTTTGGGAGATGAGCACTTTGTTTGTCTAACTCAGACGGCTTAAGCCTCATATTCATTTCATATAAACTTGTGAACCAAAATGGTTGAGTGCCTTTCATTTCAGATGTAACAACAAAAAAAGATGCGATAAACGTTCTGTTTAATCAGATTGAAACACAAACTCCATGTCAAAGGCTTAAAATGCAAATGAAAAATACAGTTTATATCCATTTACATTTTAAAAAGTGTTACCAAGCAGTCTCTCATCAGGCCAGACAAGGAGTGCAAGAAAGAAAAGGTCTTAACTTGTGTCTTACTCACTATTTTACATGCAAGATGAAGCAAACATGAGTTTTCAAAGCAGATAAATACATACAGCAATATAGGCAGCCAATAATGAGCGGACATGACCATGCAATAAAAATACAAGTTCAGAAAATCAGCATATGAATACTGACAATAGATGTGACTTATTGTTATAACATCAACCTGCCAGGGACTCCAGATAAAAATGAGTCTGTATGGCTAAATCTGGCTCATTTACATTTGGGCATTGTCCTTATGTTCACTGATGTGCACTGTCCCTTTAAAAATAAAATAAAATAAACAAACATTATGACCAAATGTGATCATATAATAATCAAAATTGTAAAGTCCTGAAAAAATGGTAGACGGAGCTAAAGTTATGCAGTTTAACACAACAGTCCTGTAATAAATTCTTCACAAAGGTTTAAATGTCCATCAGAGAAGTGTCTAATATTTAATCTATCTGTCCTTCATTAATATAATCGATGTATAAATGATTATTGCTGCCTTGATTCTGCATTCTTGGCCCAGTCTGTCCTGAGGAAAAATCAAATGGGGCCACCTGCTAAGAAAAGGCATAGAAAGTCCATGCATAAATACAGACCACAGATCCATGTTGTCACCACACTCAGTGTCGTCTACTAACTCTGCTGTACAGGGCAGATACATCCTCCACAGCTGCTTGAGGCCTTGTTCTGTGAAGGAATCAATAATTTAAAAGAAGAACATTTAATAAAAAAAACTAAAAAAACATAGAAATGTGAAATTAAACACTTTCACTTTTACTTTATTTAAATTATTTAAATTAAACAGCAACAAAGATTGTCCTGTGTGAAGAGTTGCTCACCCTGCGGCACTGTTGAAGTTGGGGGTCGCGTAAACAACCTCCTCCTCGTTTCTGAGGGGCTGAGCTGGGCTGTAGTTGGAGTAGAGAGCCTCTGCCTGGTTTCTTATGAGTCGTATGGTTGCATCCTGAGTTTCATCTGTCTGCTGGCCACAGAGATAGTCACTATTACATTTTCCATGTACTCTTTACAAGACAAACAGAACTCTGCACTGCAGCATGACAGGACCACTCAGTAAAATATCTGCAGGGTATAAGGTGGAGTGTGTTCAGCCTAATTTGCTAAACCAAAGAACTGTGATCCTGAGGCTTGACATCAGTCTGTAGCCATGTTTCCATCAATGTTATTTATGTGGCATTAGAAAAGGTTGATGAAAAAAAAAACAGAAAAAACAAAATCCTTAATCTCGCAAAAAACTTTTTACGCTGGCTTGAGGTGGTTTTTGCCTTTGTCGAAAAACTCTTAATGCACTACTTGGGAGATGGAAACACTTTTGCCGAATAAGTTCTGATGTAGCGAACTTGTAACTCACGTCTGATCAGCTGTTTCTGCTGTTGGCATCTTGACCAATATTCCCATAACGTGTGGAGACATGGCTGGTAGCAACTTGCCCTCTTGAAACACAATTCTGAGGACCTCTCTCCATTTTTCTAAGATCAGTGGCCATTAGTTCCATGCGACTGGTGTATTCACTGCAAAACAGCTGATGACCCATTTCACATTTCCCTTTTTTTCTTTTTTGCAACATTTCAAGAGTCTGCTTCAACTTTGCATGACAATTGGATGAAACAATTTTTGTGTTGCAATACCAGCAGCAGATGATAATAGTATTCACATTTTACTTAATGCCCCATGAACCAGATAGTGTACAAGAAGTTTGTTGTTCAATTTAGGTGAACCATGTGCCAGAAGTATGTCTGGAGAAAGACATTAATTCATTGTGGGTATTTAAAGTAAAAGTTTGTCAGTTTTAAAACAACAGTCTTATGTTTTATATAGTGCTGGGATGAAATTACTGACTTTGTAAGAGACCCGTTTGATTTGTGTAACTTGGATGGCTAAAGCCTCATTTTACCTTCAGATAAACTTTTAAATAATTTTCACACAGATTGAGGACATTGGATTTTGTCCCTCATTACAACACTGAAAGTGCATTAGGAAGGGATTTCTTAATAACGTAGAATGAACAGGAGGAATAATTACTGTTTAAATGTTTATATGGACACCTGGATAACAAACAGACTTGGACAATGTGGAACCTCTCCTTTAATCTTTCAGGTAAACCAGATGTGAGTCAGATTTTTTTCTCCTGTCTAAAAACTATTAAAATAAATGCCGTTCATTTATAAAACGTGACTTAAGATAGAATCTTAAACTTGCACATTATCTTCAGTTTGGCCATGAGGTTATCAGGTGTAACTAGAGAATGATGCTAGTAGGGAGGGTGATAGATAAAGGAGGATGTGGTTAATTTGGTGAATAAAGTAGTCAAAGAAGGAAGTGATGCACCAATGAGATGACCAGCTGACCGGTGACTGAACAGCATGTTTTTGTTTGTACCTCTGCTCTGTTGTGTGGTGTCTCATCAGCCTCAGGTTGTTTTTGCAAGGAGCTCTTTCTGACAGGAGAATAAATAAAAGAAGCAAATTATTAACTAAACACATGACGCATTTCTTCAAACAAACACTAATACAATGCTAAAAAGCCCATATGTACATTGAGAGTTATTGGTTGCTCTTGTACAAACTGGCCTCAAATAAATCCCTCCCTAAAGTAGTTTCAATGTAAGTGATAGATACACACAGAAATCATATTCTGTGTGTATCTTCCACTGTTAGTCTTTTTTTGTATGGTATTTCCAGCATCACTTACATTGAAACTGCTTTCAGAGGGGATCTCTTGAGGGCCAGTGTTAACATGAGGAACCATTACAGCTAACTTTCAATGTGACTATTGCTTTGAGACTGACTTGACTTGATACCAAAAAATGTGAACGCGTCCTTTAAGATCCATAGTAAATTGAATCACAGAGAAACTGATCTGCTCACCTAATCCATATGAAGACAGAGAGAAGAAGTATGAAGACCAGAACAACAGCACTGACTGATAGAACAACCGGAAATTTCAATGAACCTGGAAAACAACAATCAAGCACAAACACTGGAAAAGTTACAGGAATGTTTGGGTAGATATATAATAGTGAAGATAACTGGACACAAATTATGGTTTAAGTTATTTTGGGATCGGTTTTGTCAAAGTTTAAAAAATAATCCAAACTAAAGTAAGGTGAGCTTCTGTAACCCAAGGTCAGCTCAAAGATGTGTGAGGACCCCTTTAAATGTAGTATAACCTTACCTGCCACAACAATCAGATGTAAGGTGGAGTTATGACGTCCTCTTCTGTTCTGGGCTTCACAGTAATAATTCCCACTGTGTTCAGCTCTGAAGTCAGTGATGGTGAAGTTCTGTCCTGATGCTTTTGGTGAGTCTTCATTCTCCTTGTACCAGGTGTATTTAGCTGCTGGGTTAGCATCACTGCTGCAGGTCAGAGTCACTGAACTGCCCTCCACTATCTCAGCAGAGGGACTCACTGACACAGAGGGAAGCTTTGGAGCATCTGGGGACAAGGTTCACAGGTCTGTTTTAGGCATGGGGTGCCACAAGCTCGGAGGAGCAATATAGTAATAATTCAGTCATTATTTTGATGTCCCAGTTGTTACTTTGTTATCCGCCTGGTTTAGAAATCCTGCTTCATGAGTAAGGCTGTTGTTGCCTCTACAAAGCTAGCTAGCAGGCTACAACAGTCACTAACGGACTTGTACCCCAAAACTTCTCACATTGTGGGCAAAACATTATTTCTTCAGTTCGTTGCTGGAACCTCACATTTTGGCAAGTACTATTACAATTCACATTGGTTTACTTAGAGGGTAGCTGCATGCAATGTCCATGTGGTTGGCACTGCAGTCTCTATTTATTACTCAATGTTAAATTTAGAGCTAAACTGAGGCTTATTGTTTCTCTCTGCTCGCCTGCCGTTCACCGGTCTTGTACCGAGCTGTGCGGGCGCGCGTGCCTCACAACTAACTGTACATGCACGTCGCGGTACTGTTTAAAAGCGATATAATATTCTTTCTGAGGTTCATCGGTGGTGATAAATGATCCAAACGTCCCGCGAGGTGCGGACAGCTCGGCACAACACCGGTGAAGCTTGAGGCTCCGTCTCTTCAGCAGGTGTTCCTCTGCCACTACACCTACACACACATACACATTACGCCCACACATGCGCGCTGACGCCCCCGACCTTAAGGGTTAGGGTTACAATTTTGGATTTATTCATGCACTTTAGAAACATTTATTAAAAGCTTCTTTCTTTTCACATGTTTATTTACAGCACTATATGTTGAAGTGTTTATTGTAATAGGCAGCATGTAAACTTAACGGGAGAAAACTGGTAGTTCTCTTTGAGCACCCCCATATCACCAAAATGACACGATCCTTGTTTCATAACGCTGTTGCAAGCTTTGACTGTGAGATTGACAGCCGAATCAGGCTCCTCCCATTGAAGCATCGAAAAGCTTCAACTAGGGTCAGCCCTAGTCCATTGCTCTGAATATATGTAATTAGGCATCTGACAGACAGCCAATCGTTACACAGAGATCTGAAACCCAACTTCAACTCAACAGAGGATGAGAAGTACAGATGAGTAGATGTTTCTGAGACTTGTTCCAACTCCACCTGCTGTTTATGTGTTCCTCCTGCTAATAATGGGTTCAGCCTCTACCCCTACCAAAGATTTAGTAAAATCCTTTTCATGCAAAAACTGAGCTGTTTGTAGTTTTAAATAAGCTGTTCACTCACATTTCACATTAATGATGTATTCAGATGTCCTCCTCCCCAGCTGGTTCTCAGCTGCACAGTAATACTCTCCAGAGTCAGAGGACTGGATGGAGCTGAAGACAAGCTGTGGTTCTTCACTGAGCAGTGTTTGGTTCTCCTTGTACCAGGTGTATTTAGCTGCTGGGTTAGCATCACTGCTGCAGGTCAGAGTCACTGAATTGCCCTCCACTATCTCAGCAGAGGGACTCACTGACACAGAGGGAAGCTTTGGAGCATCTGGAGGAGAGATGAACATAAATTACTCCTAAATATTAGAATATGTAATCAAGGACGATCCATTAAAACTTCTGTGTTTGTTTATTAGACAGATAGGGAAGGGAAGTCACACATCTGGCTAAAACTAAATTCAAGTATCAGCATGGAAATTTATCTTTGTGCAATTTATGTCCCACCAATAAAATCGACATATTGAGGAAATATTTAGCAATCGCCTCACAGAAATCACCCACTTTCAAGTCCAGGGAAATCTGTTTCTATGTGGAGACCTGAATGCAAGAACTGGTACTGAACCGGATATTATTGACCCACAAGGTAATAATCACGTGTTTGGCCAGACCCCTTAGTAAATCTCCAATTATCACTCACAGAAACAACCTTGATAGTGTGACAAACAGTAGTGGTACAGGGGCTGCTACACCTCTGTCGAGCCTCAAGTCTGTACTTTCTTGACTGTAGGATCAGAGGAGACTCTTTAGGGAGATTTACATACTCTTCTGCTCTTGGTTGTAATGTAGTGGACTATGCAATCACTGACATGGACCCCTCCACTTTCAACGCATTCACTGTCAGACAGCACTCTCAGACCACAACCAAATAAATATGTTTCTGAAAATTCCTGATAACCCGAGAAACTCAGGGAGACGTTCAGATGGGCCCCAAGCAGTTATGAAAAAGTTTGGAAAGCTCTAAATTCAACAAAACTTAAATAAAATAAATAAAATAACACCCTTAATCCAAAACCAATATGACACCAATAAAGTTGTGGATGAGGCTGTGAGAGATATGAACTCCTTTATCCTTTATGACGCAGTTATTGAGGCTGACCTGAAAAATAATAATTACTATTATTAGAATAATAGATAGGTAGGTAGATTTTATTGTCACAATACAACAAGTTGTAGATCGAGTTTTGTAACTCCCTTCTGCTACATAGCAGACTGTAAACATTAATAAAGATTCAATTATGAAAAATGGTAACAGAAATAAACTATAATCACTGGAGCAGTGCTGAGGATGAACTAGAGTTTAAGAAAAACTGTGGCAGCAGAAACTTCTCTCTCTCTTCCCAGAAGGCAGCAGGGTGAACAGGCTGTGGCTGGGTGGGTACTGTGCTCACCTCACCGATATCACTGATGCTCAGGAGATGGGTACCAATGATCTTCTGAGCAGTTTGAATCACCCGCTGCAGAGCCCTTCAGTCCTGGGCCGTGCACATCCCATGGCAGTTAGTGATGTTTCCAGTCAGGATGCTTTCCATTGCTCCTCTGTAAAAGCTGATAAGAATTTCTGAGCTTTTTTCACCAGCATGGAGATGTGGGACGACCATGTCAGGTTCTCCGTGACGCCGATTCCCAGGAACTTGATCTATTCACCCGCTCTATTAATAAGAGTAAGACTGAAGGACAGTCAGGAAAGACTAACTGATGGCAGAAAAGAGTGCACTGGGGGTGGAGAGGCTAGTTACCCTTTCCACATGCCCATGCAGAAAAGCCTTTCATGGACGCCCCAACCAACTACAAGAAAGATACAGAGAAAACAGCCCGGTGGTCCATTGAGAGGCGGGACAAGGTGGATCTCTCTGACAAACTCATGGCCTCCTCTATCATGAAGCTCTCTGATGGCTTGGTGAAGATAGACCAATGACCAGTTTGCATACTGCCTGAGAAAATAATGTTTCTCGTTTACTGATGGATTTGTTTTTGTGGTGCCGAAATATTTTTTCGGTGTTGGCGAATGATAAAAAAAAACCCACTTAATATTACCAGTTTTTTTTTTTTTTGTAATACAACTTGACCAGCGGCGATAGCAAGCTTTTTTAATAGCAGGAGAATCCACACAACAGGCGCGTCTCACTCTCTCCTGCAGTGCTGCCGCTCGAGGCGCGTCAAATATGACATCCAGACTTTTGTCAAACGAGATAGGCCCATTAAAGTTGAATCTGTCACAGGGCAGCCACAGTCACTCAGACCGTAGACCGTCGGCCTCCCTTCTTGTTTTAACCTGATGGCATGATCTCTGTCATCACGTGCAATTGATTGCATGCATACACACATCAACACAGCGGTCAGTCAGTGCGCGAGTGTGCGTAGAAAAAATGCACAGGAGAACGAGAGAAAGAGAAAAGGCTGAGATGGAGAAAAGAGCCCTTAAATGCTGTGAAATTACAGATGGTGTTTAAAGAGATTACGTTACGGAAGTTGTGTGTGGCGTCGCTATGACGACAAGCTATGTACTATCTCTGGGTACTATCTGTAACGGAAAACGGAGCAGGGCCGAGTAGAGTCGAGTCTATCGATTTGCGCTCTGGTAGCATTTTTCGGTGAAGGCAGCATAGATTAGTCCTAAAAGACGATGCAACTCCGACTCTGTTTGGGCCTGGAAATTCACAATCACAACCTGTAAGTATGCTTTATCGGTTGTGAATTATATTTAAAATAAACACGGCAATGTAACTTCAGACTGTTCAAGTGCGGAGTTGCTGTAAACGTTGGCCAACACAGCTAAAGTTATAGCTATAATGCTAATGTTACACCTGATGTGAAAGCTACTGAGCAAATGTTCAAATTGTTTGGCCAATTTTGATGTAAAATTGAGTTGAAATATGGTGATTTTTGTAGTGCTTTATGGTAAGATGTGGAACAATGATGTTGTGTGGTTGTGGACTTGTGAGTAACTTTACCATCTGCTAGGTTTCGGTCGCAGACTGAAGACTTTGATTTGGATCACACTACCTTGTTTCTTACGACCCGCCCTTCTCTGCTTCTGATTGGCTAGTAGTCCTTACCTGGGAACTACGCATGTGCAACTCCCAGCAAAGATTTTGTACAAGTAAGATGCATCACTCTGTAGCTCAAGAGCGGAGCGTACAACACAGGGTGAAAAGAGGAGCTGCAGCAATGTGCAGTATGAGAAAAATAGGGTGTTTTTTGAAAATGAAACCATGTAAACCTGTTCTGGTAAGATTTTGAACCTGAAAATGAGCAGAATACCACCTCTTTAATAGACTACATCTTTTCAAAAGAGGAGCTTTACACACAACCTTATCAGAGCGAATGACAATATTAGGATTTCTTACTACTAAGACGAGTGTCTGTCGAGTCTGTGAGGAATAAATCTTCAGAAACTTTACTCCATTATAAAGTTTTACAATGAAAAATTAATTATTACGGTATAGAATACTCTAATATGGTTATGTCTGAAATTATAATAGTATTGTGCGCAAGCATGTTTTTTTCCTGACACAGTGGAGTAAACTCACACACTGAAGGAGAGCGAAATCCTCATGTCCTTTTACAGCACAGGAGATGTCTCCAGGATAAAACTGATCTTTATAAGAAGATGTCTCCACCCTTTCCATTTTCTGTCCATTCTTGAGCCAGATGTAGGAAGAACGATCAGGAAGACGACAGCTGCTGTGACAAAGCAGCTCTGCCTCAGTATAATTCTGGTAGACTGTTGATCTGATCACCTGCATCTGGAGATCTGGGAAGAAAAAACAGAAATATTTGTCTTTATGTGGTGCTGAATCACAACATACACAGAGATGTAAACAATAGAACATTATAACAATCATGTAATCAATTAATCACACAAACATTATTTCCCATTAGGATCACTATTCTGCACATTCACTTTTCATCAGATAGTTTAAATGTGCTGTTACAGTTTGTGTTCATCAGTACCTGTGACAGTCAGAGTTGTACCAGGTAAACTACTCCTCCATTCAAAGCTCCATGTGTTGAATTTGAAGTGATACTCAGCTGAGTCGCTCTCTCTCAGGTCAGTGATTCTCAGAGTGGAGCGTCCTCTCTCTGTTTCAAGGACCTGAACACGACCTGCATACTGGGAGTCTTCACTAAGGTCCTCAGGCTGTGAGGGATTCTGCCACTGAAGACTACGTTCAGGTCTGAACCAGAATTTAGATCTGATAGTGTAATAACTGTTGTAAGTACAAGAAATGTCCACTGATGAGCCTTTGAAGGCACAGATGCTTCTGTCAGTGTAAGTCACTCTGTTGCATGAATGACCGTGGCCACCTGAAAAATATAATAATAATTTTATTATTATTACAAAAACTATAGTCTTTACTGCAGTAATTCACAGCTAGTTGTATTGCTGTGGATGGGGTTGCTCATCATAAAAGATACATGAAGTCATGGTCAGTGTTGGGCAGTAACGCATTACTCTAATATTGTTACTTTTCCCAGTAACTAGTAGTGTAACGGATTACGATTTCCAAAACAGTTATAATATTACAGTTACTAATCCAAATAACGCTGCGTTACTGTGTTCCTGAACGCATCGACGTGTTCAAGTCAGCTGTTCAGCCAAGAAGCTGAAGATAGAATGAAGAAAAGGGAGAGAGGCGTTGTTTCTACAGCAGTAAGTACTCCCATTATTGTATCAGAATAAGATGCAAAGAACATCGTCGTGCGTTGTAAACTTTGTGCGACCAGCAAAACAATTCTACATCTAATCTATTGAAGCATCAGCTGAACAGCACAGCAACATGAAACTTAGCCTATAGAAATAAACTCCAGCCGCTACTGTCAGTGATGCATCCACTCGTGGGGAGTGGCGTTAAGCAACGTTGTGTTTCGTAAAATAACTTAATAATGCTCTAATAAAAGTGTGTGCAGAAAAACAGTAGTTCAAAAGTCAAGAGTGAAAGATATATAGTAACGTAACTAGTTACCCAGTAATAAGTAAAGTAATATTATTACTTTTAAGGAGTAATAAGTAACTAGTACATTTACAATTTCAGCCCAACACTGGTGATGGTACAGAACATTAGTCACATTAGTAGAAGATTGTGGAGTGAACTCACACACTGATGGAGAAGGAAATTCCTCAAGTCCTTTAAGGGCACATGAATAGCTGTCTGCAGGATAAAAGTAGTCTGAATAAGAAGATGCTTCCTTAATTTTCTGTCCATTCTTGTACCAGATGTAGGAGGTTTGATCAGGTAGACTACAGCTGCTGAGACACTTCAGCTGTGACCATGTACATGTACACTGCATGATTGTGAGCTGCTCATCTGCACCTGGAAACCTGTATATGTAAAGATATAAAACAAATATAATAACTGAACTGTCAATTTCCACATATGATAATTGGCACACTGAGATTAACAGCCAACGTACACAAATGTTACCTGCGACAGACAAAGTGACTCCAGGTGAACCAGTAAATCTTCCACCTGGTTGGTTTGTTATGAACATGAACTTGTACTCAGCTGAGTCGCTCTCTCTCAGGTCTGTGATTCTCAGAGTGCAGATGTTGTTAGAACAACTGTACTGCAAACGACCTGCGTACTCTGAGTCTGTTCTCAGATCCACAGGTACATCTCCATTCATCTGAGTAAACCAGAATGTTTTCTCAACTGTAGTATCACGGCCATTTATTCTGGATGGGTGTGTAGGTGCATCTTATTTCCACTGTTGATCCTTTTAAGGCACAGATCTGAGTAGAGGTGTAAGTCACTCCCCAGCCTTCTGAGCCTGTATCACTGTAACACAGAGCACATCAGAAACTACAGTCAGACTCAACAACATCAGGAGACAGACTTGAAGTGCGGAGGTGGTTTCAGAAAGGAAAGTTTGATCAGCTTCAAAAAACCCAGAATCTTGTGAGTGAGTCACTGTCACAAATCGTTCTTCATGATACACCTTTAGAAGCTTGAGATCATTTTGATTTAAACAGAGCATTTTCACAGCAGACTTTTGGCTTGTTATATCAGGAAAAGCACATATGTAATATGATATTACACCTGAATGAAAGAGGAGAAGTGCCACGTGAAAATTTATTTTACAATTCTGAGTTTCAACTGTCAACTGATTTGATTTCAACACAGCTTCGGCAGTTTTACAAAACATTCTGGTGATTTGAAAATGTGACCAAACATTTTCAGAAACCACTGCAACCAATGCAGCAGAAAACTCCAGCAACAATGGCAAAGGAAAGAACCACAGCTGTGAGATATTTTGTACCGCCGTTGTTCTATTATTACATTCTGAGTAATGTTGTGACATTTTAACTTAAAAAAAAGAAAATTCTTGGCTTGTTTAGAAGCACTCAAAATATGAAAGGGGACTGTCATTACTTTATTATAAATAGACATCACATTATTAGCTTACAGTTGTGGTTACTGTGCATTAGGCCAAGATGCATAATTCTGGTCTCTATGCCTTTCTATTTATGCCTAGACCTATTTATGTTACAATTACAAAAGTAAATGGAGATACAATAAAGAAAAATTAGATTTTCATACTCGCCGAGTATAAAATCACACCATACACCATAAAAAAGGCAGAATTAATGAGAGGTAGTGGTTACTTGTTCTTAATGGTGATGTTATTTAAATCACGGTAGACAATTAGTGTTGTGTCGTTCATTTGACCTATTCTTGTATGTGACTCAGGAGGAACGGGTTGTCTCAGTGAGTAATTTGTTCATTTTAACGCATGCGTGAATAGTCTTGGACTCTTACGTTTACTCTTTACATGGCAGCTGCATGGGCTCCGTCAACACAGGAAACAGAATTGATTAGTTCACGACTCTCAACTGAGGGTCTCTGGGTTTGAGTCGTTCATTTGTCACGTGACAGCTGGCTACAGGCTGTTGTAAGCAGGCAGCACAGGAAACAGAACTGATTAGTTCAGGACTCATAACTGTGGGTCTCTGGGTCTGGGTCATTCATTTTTCACGTAACATCTTGGCTACTGTGGAGCAGGAATGAACTAATCATTCAGCGCTCACATGGGTCCTCAGAGTCTGTCTTCACTCGGCAGGCTGACTTACTGCCAGCACCGGGAATGAGAGGCAAGTCGGTTGTCAGGTAACAGTCACTGGACTGACATACACTCACCTAAAGGATTATTAGGAACACCATACTAATACTGTGTTTGACCCCCTTTCGCCTTCAGAACTGCCTTAATTCTATGTGGCATTGATTCACAAGGTGCTGAAAGCATTCTTTAGAAATGTTGGCCCATATTGATAGGATAGCATCTTGCAGTTGATGGAGATTTGTGGGATGCACATCCAGGGCACGAAGCTCGCGTTCCACCACATCCCAAAGATGCTCTATTGGGTTGAGATCTGGTGACTGTGGGGGCCATTTTAGTACAGTGAACATTGTCATGTTCAAGAAACCAATTTGAAATGATTCAAGCTTTGTGACATGGTGCATTATCCTGCTGGAAGTAGCCATCAGAGGATGGGTACATGGTGGCCATAAAGGGATGGACATGGTCAAAAACAATGCTCAGGTAGGCCGTGGCATTTAAACCATGCCCAATTGGCACTAAGGGGCCTAAAGTGTGCCAAGAAAACATCCCCCACACCATTACACCACCACCAGCAGCCTGCACAGTGGTAACAAGGCATGATGGATCCATGTTCTCAGTCTGTTTACGCCAAATTCTGACTCTACCATCTGAATGTCTCAACAGAAATCGAGACTCATCAGACCAGGCAACATTTTTCCTGTCTTCAACTGTCCAATTTTGGTGAGCTCTTGCAAATTGTAGCCTCTTTTTCCTATTTGTAGTGGAGATGAGTGGTACCCGGTGGGGTCTTCTGCTGTTGTAGCCCATCCGCCTCAAGGTTGTGCGTGTTGTGGCTTCACAAATGCTTTGCTGCATACCTCGGTTGTAACGAGTGGTTATTTCAGTCAAAGTTGCTCTTCTGTCAGCTTGAATCAGTCGGCCCATTCTCCTCTGACCTCTAGCATCAACGAGGCATTTTCGCCCACAGGACTGCCGCATACTGGATGTTTTTCCCTTTTCACACCATTCTTTGTAAACCCTAGAAATGGTTGTGCGTGAAAATCCCAGTAATTGAGCAGATTGTGAAATACTCAGACCGGCCCGTCTGGCACCAACAACCATGCCACGCTCAAAATGACTTAAATCACCTTTCTTTCCCATTCTGACATTCAGTTTGGAGTTCAGGAGATTGTCTTGACCAGGACCACACCCCTAAATGCATTGAAGCAACTGCCATGTGATTGGTTGATTAGATAATTGCATTAATGAGAAATTGAACAGGTGTTCCTAATAATCCTTTAGGTGAGTGTATATCTAATATCTATTTTGATAATTTTGTGACATTTAATAAAGCATAACGTTATTACAGTGCAGTTATGTTGTGCTAAGTTATAGTTTTAACACAGCCGCACCGGAACTTTATTCCTGCTAGTGTTTACAGCCAACAGCTGATGAGAGTTGTTCTGGTTCCGCTCCACTTCAGCGCCCTGACAGGGTTCTCCCGGGAGCCGAATTACCACCGAGGTCATCTCCTCTCCAAAACAAATGGACCGGCTCATTAAAACATAAAACACAGCCACATAGCAACGTTAGCCCTGTGGTTTGTTTACAGCTAACAGCTGATCTGAGTCGCCTGAGAATGCAACTTAACTTTTACTTTTTATTTATCGACAGAGCCGTGCTGTTGTTTCACTGCTCCTCACTGCTGAACAACCTAAAGTGTTTTTTGTTATTTTTTTTAATAAGAGTGTGTTTTATTCATCTAGTGTGTCAAGCTTATTACTTCAATATATTCCCTGTAAATCTGATGTTAATATATAGATTTTATCATGGATAGGCTGCTGTATGAATGAGCACTTTAGAGATATAGTGATAGTAATTATAATTATAGATATGACTAGTCTGGTAGTATACTCAGGAAAGATTGTGAAAGAATTGTGAAAATGGACGGATTTAGCTGGAGTAGTGGCTTAATTGAATATTGACAACATATTTCTGTGGTTTTTACCATGATAGAGAAACATCAAGAGGTGAATTTGTGCATTATACTTTGTCAATTAGAGCAAGCCAGGCAGCCTTTCTGTGTTTGAGAACTGCTAAAAAAAAA